CAAAAGAAGCTCAGGGACAGTACCCAGGCTCTGAGTTCAAGCCCCAGGACTGGCAAAAAAAAAAAAAAAAAACTTTGCTGGGTACAGGTGGCTTATACCTATAATCCTAGCTACTTAGGCTGAGCTCTGAGTCAAGATTTGAAGCCAGCTGGGGCAGAAGAATCCCTGTGAGAGTCTTATCTCCAATTAACCACTCCAAAGCTGGAAGAAGGGCTGTGGCTCAAGTAGTAGAGCTCTAACCTTGAGCAAAAAGAGCTCAAGGACACGGCCCAGGCCCTGAGGTCAAGCCCCACAACTGAAAAAACAAAAACAAAACCAGAGCCAACTTCTTTATAGTGTTATATTTTCATTAATAAATAGGTTTTCTTCTTGAAACACAGAACATAGAACAGATTGAAACACTTCCCCCCTCCCCCCAATTCCAAAGACAAGTCTATAAAACAAATGCCAGCTGTGCTGCCCTGTGGGCAGGAAAAGTCTGGTGACCTTCCCCCAGCCCTGCCCCTGCAGCACCATCACCACCCCCCCACACTCCACAAGAGAAGGGGGTCTGGAGCTTCTCCCTTGAGCCCTGGGGACTTAGGTGAGAAGCATGTGAATGTATGATGACACCACTCCATGATTCATGGACTATGCAAAGATGAAGCTTCCCTCCACTGGCTCTGACCAGCCCCTGCACTCCTGATTTTGTGATACAGCACCTGGGCAAAGCTCCCAAGGGAGCTGCCTCTGGGCTTCCCCCACTCTCCGTTCCTCTGCCACTCCTTAGAGGGGAGGGGAAGGGCTCTGGGACCCCTCCCATCCCGGGGCCTGCTTGGGAAACACTGTGTGAAGAGGCATGATGCTGAGGTGAAGGCTCCTGTACACCCCCAAGCCTGTGAGGCCAGCATTCCCCCTCCCCCCACACACTCACATACACCATGACCCACACTTTTCTTTCCTCTGGAGTGGCTGCCCTCTCCACAACCTAGTGCCCAGCTTGGGGTGTGATGGTTCTAGTTCAGTCCTCAGTGTCAGACCTGGTACCTTCATGTCCCTTGCCTGTCTCCTTCCAACCCCTCACGGTGACCATCCGCAAAGCTCATATCCAGTGTCCTAAATTGTTACATCCTCCCCCTCCCCCGAGCCTCTGCATCCCAAGGGAGGAAGTGGGGAGGTGTGGTCTCCCTGCTCCAACTCCCACTTCACATAATGGAACAGCTTTTGGCCTTTTCCTTCTTGAAGGTGGAAGAGATGAGTTCGGAGCGGCTGGGGAGGTGGAGGAGTCGCTTGGAGAGGCTTCGGACGGGGCTCTTCGGGGGCACAGGGCTGGGTTTGTTCAGACACACCATGGATGCCATCCGAAAGATGCTATGGATGCTCTTCTCCGAGGTGAAAGCTGAGCCTTCCAGGTAGATTTCTGCACCCAGCTGCTTGGCTATTGCACAGCCCTGAGGAAGGGGTGGAGTCATCAATGCAATGATCCAAAATAGCTGGGAAACAATAGGACTTTCTCTGTGCTATGCCCCAGGGCTATTCCAGATGCACCCCTCTGCCAGTCTCTCACCACCAGCCTCTGACAATTACTTTTGTGAGGGACAAGGATGCCTGCCCATCAGGATCACGTAAATCACTTTTTTTTTTCCTGTGCCAGTCCTAGGGCTTGAACTCAGGGCCCGGGAACCTTCCCTGAGCTTTTTCTCAAGGTTAATGCTCTACCACTTGAGCCACAGCACCACTTCCAGCTTTTTTGGTAGTTTGGTGGAGATGAACAGCCTCACAGACTTTCTAGCTCAGGATTGCTTCAAACAGTGACTCTCAGATCTCTGCTTCCTGAGTAGCTACAATTACAGGCATGAGTGACAACTGGCTTCTAAGTCACTTTTAACCAGACAGATAGAGTAGGTCAGAATTTCTGAGGATTAGGGCATAGCCATTAAGTTTTTCTTTGTTTGGTTTCTGGTGAGTTTGTTAAGAGTCTCATGGGCTTTATTGCCCAGGCTAACTTCAAACTGTGATCCTCACTCAGATCTCAGCCTCCTGAGTAACTAGAATTACAATCCTGAGCTGCTGGCACCCAACCCTGCATTAATATTTTTAGGAGCTCTCCCAGATGACGATAGAGAAATACTGCCATAAAGAAATGATGCTAGCTGGGTGGCTAGGATTTTTAGGTACTTGGGAGGCTGAAACCTGGAGGACCACAGTACAAAGCTGGCAAGGACAGAAAAGTCCATGAGGTTCTATGTTCAATTAACTAGCAAAACAAACAAAACTGTTGGGCACTAGTGGCTCACATCTGTAATTCTAGCTACTCTGAGGATCATGTTTTGAAGCCAGCCCAGGATGGGAAATTGGGAAATCCATGAGAAAAGTTGAAGTGGCACTGTGGCTCAAGTGGTAGAGTGCTATTCCTTGAGGAAAAGATGCTCAGGGACAGCACCCAGGCCCTGAGTTCAAGCCTCAGGATGGGTACAAAAATTGCTAAGGTGGAGGCATGGCTCAATGGTAGAACACTAGCCTTGAGTAAAAAGCCAAGCAAATTCTAAACCCTAAGTTCAAGCCCCTGTACTGGGAAATGGAAGGAAGGAAGGACAAAAGGAAAGAAGGAAGGAAGGAAAGAAAGAAAGGAAGGGAGGGAAGGAGAGAGAAAGAGGAGAAAGGAAAGGAAGGAGGAAGGTAGAGAAGGAAGGGAGAGAAGAAGGGAAGGAGGAAAGGAAGAAAGGAGAAAAGAGAAATAATCCTTAAATAAAGAAGGAAGGAAGACAGGAAGAAAGAAGAAGAAAGAATCCTTATATTCTTAGATGCATACGCAATTATCCAGGGGTTTCCTTAAAAATGATATGCAAGCTGGTGGCTCACATCTATAATCCTAGCTACTCAGGAGGTTGAGATCTGAGGATCATGGCTCAAAACCAGCCTAAGCAGACAAATCTGTGAGACTCATATCTCCAATTAACCAGCAAAAAGCTGTGATTTCAGGCATGACTTGAGTGGTAGAGAAAAACAACAATCTACCAGCACCCAAAATGTTCTTTTGTTTCTTGAGAAAGGATCTTACTATGTAGGCTGAGCTGGCCTCAGACTCAAGATTCTCCTACTTCTACCTCCCAAGTGCTGAAATTGAAGTGGCACTGTGGCTCAAGTGGTAGAGTGCTATTCAAGTGGTAGAGGTGCTGGTCACCACAGCAAGCATTTCTAATGATTCTAATACAGGTGGTCCCCAAAAAGAACTCTTGTAGGTGTTAGCACAAACAAGGATGGCTCATCTGCTGACCTATAGCATACAGCTAGGTAAACAGGTACCCATTACCCTAGTTATAGAACTCTCTAACACTAATTCTCTCTTACCATAGTGCAAGAATAAGAGCAAGAATCATATCTGTCTGGGAGCCGGTGGCTCATGCCTATAATCCTAGCTACTCAGGAAGCTGAGATCTGAGAATTTTGATTCAAAGCTGGCCTGGGCATAAAAGTCCTTGGGAGATTTATCTCCAATTAACCACTCAAAAACCAGACCACTCAAAAACTGGAAGTGGTACTGAGGCTCAACTGGTAGAGTGCTAGCCTTTAACACAAAGAGACTCAGGGACAGTGTCCAGGCTCTGTGTTCAAGCCCCACAACCAACCAAAAAAAAGTCATATCTGAAGTCCTCTGTCCACAGCACTTTCCACCCCATCCTCCAGTGCAAGCAAGCAAGCGCTAGCGCACATGCACGCGCACGCACACACACACATACACACACTCACGCACGCACGCACCTGCTCATAGGAAATGGGTGCCTGCTTTTGGTGTGACAGCTCCATCAGGGTGCTCAGGTCTGTTCTCAGGTCTGTCTTGCAGCCAATTAGCAAAACTCGGGTGCTGGGGCAATAATCCAGGATTTCTGTCCTCCACTGAATGGGCCAAGCATGGAGAAAGGAAGAATTGGGAAAGGGGAAGGAAAGTCAGAGGCAGACAGATCCCAGGAAAAGCCCAGCTGGCAGTGTCGCACATACATACACCACCCAGACGATCACCAGCCCTGTCCTCCCTCTGAGTCACAGCATCTCTGCTGCACTAATTACATCATCTTCCTGCCCATGAGGCCTTCGGTGGCACCGGTGACCCAACAGCCTGTGCCTTCAGTCAACAGCCCAGTCACCAAGCAAAGTACAGGAGCAAGATTCTTCTCACTTCCTGCCAAGCAGAGCAAACCCAGAACTATCTGCCCTGCTGCCCCATTAAAGGCCTCACAAGTCCAGAGGGCCACAGAGGGTAGAGCATGTAATCCAAATCTTCTGAGAAACTAGGCTAGTTCATAAGGCTCTCTGCAGCTTGTCAGTAGAGACACATCTTGACATCCAAACCCAGGTGTGCCTGGCTCAGTGAGCCTGGGATCCAGAGCATTCAAAGCTGTCTCAAAATGATCCAATTGCTGACCCCTAAACCATATCAGGGGGTTCTGATTGGTAATCTTTTTGTTTCCTGAGACTTTCCCCCATCACCCTCCTTTACTGGGCCTGGTATAGAATAACAGAACCAGCAGAGGAGAGGAGACCTGGATTGTATTCCTAGAGCTGTAGCTCATGATGTGGCCTTGGGCAAAAACTCTTCCTTCCCTGGCATCAGTTTTTTTCTGGTACACAAAAAAGATGAGAAGCCAAAGGTCCCAAGATTCTTTTCTGTTCTCCTGCTGGGTTAGATGTTAAAGAATTTCTCTAGTCTTATCTTCTTATTTTGCCAGTCCTGAGGCTTGAACTCAGGGCCTGAGCACTGCCCCTGAGCTTCTTTTTGCTCAAGGCTAGCACCTACCACTTGAGCTACAACACTACCTCTGGCTTTTTCTGTGTATATGGTACTGAGGCATCAAACCCAGGGCTTCATGCATGCAAGACAAGCACTCTACCACTAAGCCACATTCCCATCCCCTCTAATCTTACCTTCTTAAGTGCACTGTCCACTGTCTCTGGACGGCTGATGTCAAAGCATAGTAACACTGCATCTGAGTCGCTATAGCAGAGTGGACGGACATTGTCATAGTAGGGAGACCCTGAAGTAGTAAGAAAGGCATGGGGGTGAGCCATGGCATTTTTTTGTTCTCTATACACCAGAATCCAAGGTGCACTTGGACTACCATTTTTTGATCCTTTAAAAACCAGCCACCCTCTAGGGAATTGTGCCTGGAAGCCTGGGACCTGACCACCTGCTTGGATCATCTCCCTTAACCCTGGAAGAAGAAGAAAATAAAAGGGGCTAGAAAACTGGGCACTGATGGCTCATGACTATAATCCTTGCTACTCAGGAAGCTGAGATCTGAAAAGTGTGATTTGAAGCCAGCCTGGGCAGGAAAGTCTGTGAGACTCTTATCTCCAATTAACCATTTAAAAAAGGCCAGAAGTGGAGCTGTGGTTCAAGCAGCAGCCCTAAGTACAAAAGCTCAGGGGCAGCACCCAGGCCCAGAGTTCAAGCCCCAGCACTGGCAAAAAAAAAAAAGAGGGGGCGGGCGGCAGAATATAATTCAATCTTATCTAGGTCTTCCACAGTAGTCTCAAATTAAGTTCTATAGTTCGCTGAATCCTAGAAGACATTGCCAAATCCCAGGGAGAGACCAGGGCTGTTCAATATCTCCTCTTCTTGAGCATCTTCCTGCTGCCTGACCTCTGTGCTTTGGTTCTGGGGTCTCTTTGGTTTAGAGACAAACCTGCCTGTTACATAACTGACTGTCCTGCTTCTTTACCATGGTGTCTGAACTCTAGGAAGTTGGCAGGGGAGGGAGAGCACCCAGGATTCAGGGCTCCACTCTGCCACCCACCCAAATCAGCCTTCTCTTGAAAGGGAAGGCTGTAAGCCCCCTCTCCCCCTAAGAACCCAGGAAGGCAATCTCACAGTCAGCAGCACCCATAGCTAGGAACTTTGATGCTAGAGCAAGGGTCCTTCATAGGACAGGGAATAGCCAATGTAGACCTAGGGTCTGAGAAGGCCACACAAGGAGCTGAGCCTACCCCCCTCCACCCTGGGGAAGGAGCAGTAGAGGATTTGGAACCCAGACAATTCGTGCTCAGAATAGCAAGCAGCCCCTCTCCCTGCACTGCAATCGCCATGGAAACTGGGGGGGAATCCAAGCTGGGGTGGGGGTGTCGATCATAAGAAAAAAAGTAAGGGAGAGTTGGGATAGCTGCCTGCTTCTTCAGTGTTCTTCCCCTCCCCCTCCCTCATCTTATCCCTTTCTGAGGCGAGGTGGGGTTCTGGCTTCACAGTGGCACTGAGGCAAGGGAACGCTGCAGTATAGGGGAAGGGGGAGGGGAGAAAGTCTCCATTTTAGCTCCAAATAATCCCCCTCCCCTAAGATCAGCAAGTGAAAAATGAAACAGGTCCAACCCTGGTTCTGGGACAGGGAAGCCCCATCCCACACATTTCTGCCACTTCCTCTGACCTTACAAGAACCTAATGTGAAAGAGTCTGAGGCTGACAGATTTCATCCTTTTGAAATTAGGGGGTGGGTGTGACACAAGATATAAAGACCACACTTGCTGATTTTCTAGTATCTGGATTGGGGCCTCAAGGGCTGCATTCTGACTGTGGAAGGAGGTGGGGAGGGAACAGTGGGGGGCTTGGGGGTGGTGGTAGTGAGAAGAGATGAGCTGCAGTAAGGTTGTGGGAAGACTGGAAGGTAGTACAGAAGAAAACCCCATTTATCATGCGACCACGCTGCATTCCAGCCCAGCCAGCCAGCATAGCACAGTAGTCCAGGATGACCGGAATTCTGCCTCCCATCCTTGGAGCTGCAGCCCAGAAAAGCACCCCACCTTGAGGAATTTTTGTTAGGTGGAGGGGGTGGGAAAGAAAGGACGTCTCATTTTTCCATCTACCCATCCCCTATTTCAGTCTTTTCAGACTTCAAAATTGGGAGCATGGGAACAACAGCTCTTTGGAGTACAGCAGCATATTTATTACACCCAACAGGAAACCCCAGTGATTTATAGTTCCCCTTTACATTCGGTCTGGATATGATTTTTTTTTGGAAAGGCATGGATTTGATTTTCTTTCTCTTATAAGCAGCTTTTACTCCTTAATTATCACTCTGAGCCAGTCTATTAGAAAAAAAAAAAGGCCTCTGGGTGAAGAGATAGTAGAAAGGGCTCAGAATCATAGCAAAGGAGGTTTGAGCACTAAAGGTTTGAGGCTGAGAGCCTGGGAAAACATTGCTTCTTCAAAGACAGAGCACCTTCTGGCAAATCGAAATGGTCAGAAGCAACCCACTTCCAGCACCCCCAGCGGCCACTATCCACAACATGACCATGCCCTACATTAGCCATCTCCCCCACCCTCCAAAAACATTGATGATGCATTGCTTCTTCCCTGAGCCGCAGCGGTGTGACAGGGGAGGTGAGGTCTGAGTTGCGGCAGGCAGGCAGCAGTAGCCAGAGACGGAAAGCAGAAAAGCCAGATGCGTCCCAAAGCAAAGGTGGTCTCCCTAACCAACTACAACATCATCTAGCTACAAGAACCCCTGCCTCTCATTTAACTTTGCTCTGGGGAAGTAAAGCATGAGTGAGTGTGTGTGTGTGTGTGTGTGTGTGTGTGAGAGAGAGTATGAGTGTGTGTCTATCCGTGTGCTTAGCAAGGAGTAGAAATAGAAAAGCCTTGCCAAATCTGAGTTGACCAACAGCACCCCCACCCCTACCTCCATCAAGGATCCTCCGATTCCTTCTTTCTGTTTCCTGGCTAAGCACCTTTCTCCTCCTCACTACAACTGCAGCTGACTAGTTGAGCTGGCAACAGAGGATATTGGTAACCGCAGTCTTACCTGAGGTGTCCCAGAGACTAAGCTCCACTCTCTGTTCCTCAGTCTCCAAACAGGCTGTGTAATTCTCGAACACCGTGGGCACATAGGTCTGTGTGAAGAGAGGAAGCATTCACACCTGAGCACCTCTGTCCTACACAAAACCCTACTACCCAAGAAGCCACTCATCCATCTTTTGAGACACTAAAGTGTCAAGGCCAGAGGAAGGAGTTCGGGGCGGGGGGCAGGAGGGACCACATAAGATTGGAGGAAAAGGACTGTAGAGGCACTGGCACTTTGTGCTATGGAGATAAGAATTAGGAATGACCCACTCCCCCCACTACAACCAGAGGCAAGTCCCCCTCCCAGTTCCTAATGATCAGACACACATCACACACGTTTTCCTCTCATCCCTAAATTTGTCTCCCAATTTCAGAATCACCAGACAATTCTAACATCTGTCTTCCATCTCCCCAAACCCCTTGGCCCAGGTAAACCACCAAAAAGGGGCAACAGTAGCAACCTCAGGGCTTACATTCATAGAACCTTTAAAGAGGGAGTGAAGGATGGGCAGGTATTATGTCAAGAAGAAACCCCAGACTCCAGGGCCTCCAGTTTCCTCTCCTGAGAGCAGACCCAGAGATGAAGGAAAGTAGGAGGGGATCTGATGGGTGAAGAGGTAAGGAGGAGCCGGCCAGGCGGCTGCAAAGTAGGACAGGTCTCAGGGGAAACCAAGGCTGGGCAATACTCCAGCCAGAAAGCAGCTGAGGTGGGGCAGGTTGGGGGTGGAGGGGGTGGAGGAGATGACTCTCCTGGGCAGGTGGGAATCAGCCCCGGGGCGGGCCGGAGAGCAGGGCAGGTGGCTCACCTCGGGATAGCAGTCCTTCGCTAGCACCTGTAACATCGCTGTCTTCCCGCACTGCACATCGCCCACCAGCACGAGCTTACATCTGACCACTACTGGCTGGGGCGCCCGTCTCTCCTTCATGATTGCAGCCTCCACAGGGCTCGGGCTCCGATTCAGAGAATAAGGGGTGGCGACAGGTGTACTTCAGCAAGGGATGGAACTCAATGCCCTGTCCCCCTCCAACTGAAGAGGAGGCCGGGCACAGGCTTCTTATATATCCTTAGATGAACCAATCACAAGAGGAGGCGGACTCTGTGGCAGCCAATCACTGAGGTGGGATCTCCTCCAATAGCCAATAGGAAGGGACTCTGAGTCAGCGCCCTCTTCTTCCCTTCCCTTTCTCTTAAAGCTGCAACGTTTTTTTCTCTTCCTCCTGAAAGGGGATTCCCACGATGTTTTTGTATTTGTATTAGGAAGTAGGAGGGGACTTAAGGCAAAGTTAAATGATCTGGAGTGCCCTTCAGTTTATGTAAAAAAACATTAGCTAGCTATGGAATAGAAAGAACAAGCTGGAGTCATAGGGACTGTCCCAGGAAAAGAGCCAGGCAGCCTAAACTATGGACATCCACCTAGCAAGGTGAATGGGACCCGGGGCGTGGGGGGAGGGGTGGGGTGGCGTTCCAGAGACCTTATACTATGTTGTTTCATTTAATTCCTACACAAATCAGTTTTCACTCTGTACATGTACCCGTGTACTCAGGGCCTGGGCACTGTCCTTTTTTCCACTCTAGGCTTGCTCTCTACCACTTGAGCCACAACTCCACTTCCTGACTTTTGATGGAGATGAGTCAAGTGGACTTTTCTGCTTGGGCTGGCTTCCAACTGGGATCCTCATATGTTAGCCTCCTGAGTAGCTAGGATTATAGGCGTGAGCCACTGGCTAGTTCTCACTTCTTTCCCATTTGTTTTCTAACACAAGTTCCTACTGTTCCTGTTTTGGAAGCACAAATTCCCTCCTCAGGAATCACCTCCACCAAAACAAATCAACGAAACCAAATACAGGTCCTCACCCAGAGAAAGAAAAGAATGAGGGAGTCCAGGCAAGTAAGGATAAGAGAAAGGAAAAGAACAAAACCAAATCTCTTGGCCACATAGCCCCTTACTCCAGGGCTGGCAGGAGCTGTTTACAGATGCTTGTTTTATGGCCTGAGTTCAGTTTTCCAGATGAATCAGGTGCAAGATTAGTTCCAGGCTGACATCAGTTGATACTGATGCATTAATGCATGTCATCTAGTCAAAGTCCAGCCTGGAAGACCAGGCTTGGGCCTTTGGGATTAGAAACTAAAAGGTCAGTTCACACTTGTAGCTCACACCTGTAATCCTAGTTACTCAGGAGGCTGAGATCTGAGGATTGCAGTTTGAAGCCAGCCCAGGCAGGAAAGTTCATGAGACTCTTATCTCCAATTAACCATCAAAACACTAGAAATGAAGCTGTGGCTCAAAATGGTAGAACACCAGCCTTTAGTAAAAAGGGGAAGGTGCCTAAGGCCTTGAGTTCAAGCCCCAATACTAGCACAAATAGAAAGAAAGAAAGAGAGAGAGAGAGAGAGAAAGAAAGAGAAAAATAAAAAAGGAAAGAAAGAGAAAGAGAAAGAAAGAAAGAAAGTTTCTCAGACAAAAGGAACAGATCTGTATATCTCTATGAGTGATGTTTTCCAATGTGCCCTATAGGCAGAATGGGAGTTATTTTGAGAATGTAGCCTAGCAGCATTGCTCCAGTCTACCCTGTAGGTTCTCAGCCCCAGCTGTTTGGACTCTGGGGTCAGTGCCTTCACTGTTCTCTGCCCATCTCTTACCCTCTCACTTCCAAGGTTGAAATCCCCTGAGAAAACTTGTAAAGGTGTGTGGAGGGAGGCAGGGGGCGTTTTTCAGAGGCCACCATTAGCTGTGTAATCCTCATCTCCCAGGCTCTTTGGAGATTTTACCTTCCCCCCACACCTCAGCCTCAGCTTTCAGATAATGTTCTATCTATGGAATTTGTCCTCTTCTTGTCCTTTTTCAGCATCCTGACAGCTTCCCTGAGCTGCCCATTAAGTGTGGTTTGGGAGAGTTCCAGAACAGCTGTAAGATTGTAGATGATGCTTCAACCTGGAGTCCTTTCCCTTCGTTTGACCTTCTTCTGGGCCTGATTTCCACCCTCATCTTATCTGGACACAGTATTGGAAGTACTAGTAGAGTCCCTATGTATCCTCTTAACCTTTAGCTGGGATCCCTTCCCAAAGAGTTAGCCTCCTTCTCCTGTTCTCTTCCAACCCCCCCCTTTTCACACACAGTCCTCCACTGGCCACCCCAAATAAACATTTGACACAAGGAAAACTGTCCTGCTATACAGATAGTGTCCTCAGCTTCTAACACAATTGTCATTTCTCAGATCCCCTGAGGTAGACATTCTGAGGGCTCGTTCCAGCCTTGATTCTTCCCTGGGATCAGAGTCAGGCAGTGGAAGGTCTGAGCTATGGCTCAGAGCAAACCTCCAGCATGGCTGAGTCTCAAGGTATGACTCCAAAGAGATCTCGTGGCTCATTTTGGGGGGTGGGAGGGATTATTTTTGCTTTTTGTTTCATTCTGTTGTTGTTGTTCTAAGACAGGAGCTTACTATGTAGCTCTGGCTGGCCTCAAACCCACAGTCCTGCCTCAGCTTTCTGAGAGCTGGAATTAAAGGTGCACACCATCATATCTATCTCTGTAGGACACATTATGAATTATGGCAGAAGGTATTGTGGGTGGGGTGGTAGGAGGAGAGAGGGGAGAAGAAAAGAGAAGAGAAGAGAAGAGGAGAGAAGAGAAGAGAAGAGGAGAGGAGAGAAGAGAGAGAGAGAGAGAGAGAGAGAGAGAGAGAGAGATCCGGAGGAAGCATGGCAACATGAAAACAGGATGGAGCTATATTCAGCAGGTCCGGGTGTTGGACCCAGCTGCTCCCTTAAGATGTGTGTTTTCACCTTCGTTGGGGCTCTTGGTTCTTTAACTGTAATGTAAAGAGTTTAACTAGAGAAGGCACTTTTTACCTTTTTTTTTTTTTTTTTTTAGCAGTTAGGTCCTTTGTCCAACCCTCTTTGTTTAACCCTCTTTCAAGCGGTGTTTTGTTTTGTCTTGTGTTTGTACTAATACTGGAGCTTGAGCTCAGGACCAGGGTTCTCAAGGCTAGTGCTCCACCGCTTGAACCACAGCTCCACTTTTGGCTTTTTGATGGTTAATTGGAGAGAAGAGTCTTATAGACCTTTCTGCCCATGCTGGCTTCTAACCAGGATCCTCAGACCTCAACATTTTGAGTAGTTGCAATTACAGGTGCAAGCCACCTACATCCACTTAACCTGTTTTTTTAAAAGCTTTTGTCTTATGTAAATGTTCAAACTTTTAAAAAGATTTAGGAGTAGGGAGGTATAGCTCAGTGGTAGAGCTTACTTAACAGATATGGCACCCTGGATTCCATCTCATTCTAGAATAGAATAGGAGACTAACACAATTTAAATCCTCACAAATCTACAGTCCAGCATGATCTTGGTTTATATGTCCCACCCATTTATCTTACCTACACCATTTGTACTGGATGCTTTTAAAATAAATTTTAGACATATTTTATCCACACACATTTGAGTACTTATCTCTAAAAGAGAAGGACTTTGTTACCACAGTATCAGTATCACAAATAAATAAACATAAATAAAAATAAATTCTGGGCTGGGAATGTGGCTAGGTGGTAGAGTGCTTGCCTAGCATGCAGGAAGCCCAGGGTTAGATTTCCTCAGTTCCACATAAACAGAAAAGGCTGAAAGTGGCACTGTGGCTCAAGTGGTAGAGTGCTCAAGGCAAAAGAAGCTCAGGGACTTAGCTGGGCGCCGGTGGCTCACACCTATGATCCTAGCTACTCAGGAGGCTGAGATCTGAGGATCTCGGTTTAAAGCCAGCCCGGGCAGGAACATCCATGAGACTCTTATCTCCAATAAACCACTAGAAAACTGGAAGTAGTGCTGTGGCTCAAGCAGTAGAGCGCTCGCCTTGAGCTGAAGAGCACAGGGACAGCGCCCAGGCTCAGAGTTCAAGCTCCACGACCAACCAAAAAACAAAACAAAACAAAACAAATACAAGAAGCTCAGGGACAGTGCCCAGGCCCTGAGTTCAAGCCCCAGGACTGGCAAAAAAAAATAATAATTAAAAATAAATAAATTCTTAGCTGGGCACCAGTGGCTCATGCCTCTAATCCTAGCTATTAAGGAGGCTGAGATCTGAAGATCACAATTCAAAGCCAGCCCAAGCAGAAAGTCCATGAGACTCTTATCTCCAATAAACCACCAGAAAACTGGAAGTGGCACCATGGCCCAAATGGTAGAGTGCTAGCCTTGAGCTGAAGAGCTGAGGGACAGCACTCAGACCCAGAGTTCAAGCCCCACAACTGACAAAATAAATAAATAAATTCTTAGTATAATCAAACACTGTTGTGTTAAAAATTTTTCCCAATTGTGTCATACTTGGATTTATTTGAATCAAAACCTAAATAAGTTCCAGGCATTGATACTGATTTTAGTTTAGACTTTTTGTTTTCTTCTATTTTTCATCATTTGTGGGACTTGAACTCAGGGCCTGGACACTATCCTTGAGCTCTCTAGCTCAAGGCTAGTGCTCTATCACTTTCAGCTCCACTTCCAGTTTTTGAATAATTAATTGGAAATAAGCATCTCATGGGCACTTTTCTGCCCAGGATGGCTTTGAACTGAGATCCTCAGATTTGAGCCTCCTGAATAGCTAGGATTACAGGCATTTGCCACTGGTGCCAGCTTTGGTTCCCCCATTCTCACCCCCTCAAACACACAGATGCTTTGTTTTCTTGTAGTTTGTTTGCACCACTGACATTTGAACTGAAGTCCTTACGCTTGCTTGGAAGGTACCCTACCACTTGAGCGGTACTTCCAGCCTTGCAATTTTTTTTTTAAACCAAGTTGTTTATTCTGCAGTGTTTTACAGCATTCTAGATTTTGCTGCTGATAGCTCCAGTGGTGTCATTCACACATAGTAAACTCTTTTACAACATAAATCTTATGCAGAATCTCCAAATACAAAAAAGACAAAAACCCAAAACTTCTCAGGTTGAATCAGAAAACAGGACACCAAGTAGAGGCTTACGCAGCCTCTAATCCCCTCTATCATTATCTCCAAAGGAGTGGATCCC